CCAGGATATACTTCTCGAAGCGTATCTGCTAATCCCTTATTATTTTGACTATCTCTAATACTTCTACTGCTATGGGATTTGAATCAACTAATCGATCTCTCTCTGTATGAGATAATGTTTATATTGCAATTTGAACTGATGTACATATGTACAAAATTCAACGTTGCTGCTCAATAAGTGATTAATGCACATTCGTACTAAAAAGATAAAGAATAAGCTTTCAAAAAATTCCAGCTATGAAAAATACATCGACAACTCCCTGATATTGGATCTTTCGCCAATCTCATAACCTTAATATTAGGTTAGTTAAGCAGCGCACTAATGTCACATTATCACTGCAGATTTTCGACCACTTACTTACTCCTGTTACCCCTAATGGAGCATAGGTTTGAATTATTTTTTCTGGTTAGCGTTTTTTGTAAGCCCGTTAGTTTTTCGACGGGTTAGGGTTAGCTAATCCCACGTCCAACCAACTCTTCTCCTTTAACCGAGTTTGGGACCGTCAGTAGCTCCAGAGAGGGGCTCCTTATGGAGTTGAAGATTTTCCGATAGAAATAAGATGTTCATATTCTCGCATTCGCTTTTTTTACTGTCAATCCTTCTCCTATCATTTATTGCCTCATTTTTAAGTTTGATTATCATTTCATCAAATGACCTGATTGATGCATCATGCATGACCTTATGATTAATTAGTCATAATTTTTTGCAAAGCATTAACGAGTTTGATGGGTTCTTATTTTTTTCAGAAAGATTTATTGATTTTCGATTGACCTGAGCGTTGAACTTTTCAAATATATATATATATATATATTCTTTGATTTTCTTTCATCAATCACATTGATGATATCAAATGATAGATAGATAGTTTTCAATGTCACATCACATCTAGGTCTATTGATTGGAAAACACTTTTTCCAGGCCATTATTTCATGCTTATCGAACTGAAATATTGATCACTGATCAATTGTATCGGCAAGGTGAGTGTATGTAGTGCAATTTTAGAACACTATTAGAAACATGGAGGCGCTGTTCAGGTGGCGGTTTCGTCCTAGTATGGTAATCATCAGCAGTACACATCCACGACATCCGCATGCTGAACTCGAACCCGAGATCTAAACCATTGAATCGACATCTTGCGGTGATGATGTACAATGTCAATCAGTCCATCAATAAATGAGGTAGCCTAACATAATGGATAAAGTGAAGCTTAGCTATTAACATGATTGGATGCTGGTTGCGCGGTCTAGAGGTTAGACATTCATGAGCGAAACCGAAAGCCCTGAGTTCGATTCGTTTGTATGACGCTCGAAGATACACACACTAATGATAAGTGTCATACGAGGAAGAAGCGGTGATCTGAACAGTAATTTCAAGTTACTTATGGTGAGTGGTCTAACATTGATCGATTCATGATTTGTGGTCATGGGTGTGCATGAATAAGTTATTTCTGAAAGGAAGACATTTTAATCAGGTGATATTATTTGAAACATCGCCTTAATAATCGATAACTATACGAAATATGATTTAGGATAGTAAATTTTGAATTCTGAATAATCAATTGCCATCTGTGTAGAACATGCAACTGTTACACTTTCATAACTGGATCACAGTCGGTCAGTCAGTCAGCTACACCGTAGAACTTCATACATATGTACATCAGTTCAAATTACCATAATAAATTAGCGCAGCTATACAACTGTCATTTTAAATCCCATAGCAACGGAATTGGAGAAAATTAGAGATCGAAGATCTGATCCAAGAAGTATAATCCAGTAAAATAAGTTTAGCTAGAGAAAAAATAGAGGTAATGACAAGTTCATAGGTTTAGAATTAAAGAGAATACAAAGAATGGATGCATCCACACTATTGTAAACGATTTTAAGCCATGTCATTCAGTCTCTAGCTATCAGTTACTATGGTCTTGCGGACCCCAATCAAGTAGTCTACACTTACCAACAAGACTCAGCCCACTTGTCAGTTAATTAAACGACTTGTTTAGGTGCCGATGCAACCCTAAACTAGTGATAGGGAGTGAAGTAGTCGAGCGTGTTGATCACTTCACTTATCTGGGGAGTCTCATCAGCGCTGATAGTCTGGTGACTGACTAAATCTCAGCTCGGATACAGAAAGCTCGATTTGCTTTTGCCAACCTGCGCCACTTATGGCATAGGCGTGACATCCGTTCGCTAACCAAAGGGCGGGTGTACTGCGCAGCAGTTCGCTCTGTTCTCCTATACGGATGCGAAACATGGCCGTTAAGAGTAGAGGACTTCTGTAGGTTGCTAGTCTTCGATCATCGATGTCACCGAAGCATTGCTCGTGTATCATGTGGGACAACCGAGTAAGCAATGCTGTCGTTAGGAAACGGTTGCTAGGTATGGATGGCAGATCAATAGATGAAGTGGTGAAACTTCATCAGTTGAGGTGGTTGGGACATGTGTTACGTATGGCCAACCACCGACTGCCTCGACGAGCTATGTTTTGTAGTGTAGGAGTAGATTGGAAGAAAGCTATGGGCGGCAAGACCAAAACATGACAGAAATCCACGAAGTCACTGACAAGTGGACTGATTCATGTTGGTAGATGTAGACTTCGTGGTTGGGGTCCGCGAGACGAAAGTCATCAATGGTTAGAGACCTTGAACGACATGGCTCAAAATCGTTTGCAATGCATTCGTTGTGCTCTCACCAATCCTAATCTTCTGGATTCGTCAGCATCTCTACTTATGTCTTTCAAACATTATAGCACTGAATTATACTTCTTGAATAATATCTTCGAACCATAGTCTTCTTTATTACCATCAATACCCCTACTATCTTTATCACCATGGGGTTTGATTTGACATTTGCGTCTCTGTGCTGACGCGGTATGACAATATGAACTTATGTACATACGTACGAAGTGCTTACGTTGCAACTGACTGACTCTTACCGGCCATATTTCACACTCATATAATAGGACAAATCGAAATGTTGTCTAGTACACTCATTTATTTTTCTTGATCGAAAACCAGTGGTAAGCTTTGAATATCTTCCACTCTTACCGGCCATATTTCACACTGATATAGTAGGACAGAGCGAACTGTTGCCTAGTATACGGAAATCTCACTTACGCCACAAATGACGCAAGTGAACAACAATCCAATCAAGCCGATCCCCATCATCAATAAATAAATAATGTCTTCGCTCAATCTTACAGTCTCGTCAATGTAGTATAAATTTCGAATCAGTTTTTTTTTTTTAACGAAAAATCAACAATACAGAATAATACACATATTAAATAAATAAATATATATATAATTTCTGAATTTTATTTTTTTTTTACTCTTCTCATATAAGCAAATTTTAAAAAAATAATCATACATATACTATTGGTTGTTTGTTTGTTTGTTTTTCTGTTAAAAATTAATTATTGAACAATGGAAGCTCGAAAACAGGAAAAACAAAAAGGCGGGAAAAATGAAAAAAATGGCGGGGAAAAGGAAAAATGGCGGGAAAAAGGCAAAAAAGGCGGGAAAATCACACACACAAAAACATAAAACAAAGCAGAAGACCTAATAATAATCTATGTGTTTTTTTTCCTTACTATCCAAGTTAGTTTCTAACAAAAAAATAACAGAGAGAGAGAGATGCAAACTGAAATCAGAGAATATAAATAAAGAAGGCGACAAGAAAACTGTAAGCGATAAACAATGGACGACAACATGAATAAGGACGACAAAGATGACCACCACAACCACACAATTAGACAGACAAAGAGAACATGACGACGACTGAGAAGGTCGTGTTCCGTCGTCACAATGAGATGAGCACTTCATCGCGTTACATAAAAAGAGTAAAGAATGAAATTACAAGGCACAACAAACGGTTGCAATAGTAATAAGACATAGGAAGAATTATATGTTTGTATATATATATAAATATATGTATTTTCTTGTTCCTGAAATTAGATTATGTTTCCTCAAAGTATGCGGAAAATCAATCTGACAACCTAATAATAACAACAATTGAGGCGAAAGGCAAGAAGAACAATGAGCATGAATTTTTCTGATTCATTCATTCTACTGTGCAGCATATGTATGTATGTGCGGCATACATAAATCATGTTTGATGTTGAAATTTACGAAAATGGCACTACTAGCACTAACAGTTCTAGTACTACTACTACTACTAGTAGTACTAGTAGTAGTAGTAGTAATAGGGGGCAAAACAAAATCATCTATGCATTTATATAAATATATATGTATATGTAGTATGGAAGAAAGACTTTTGGTAATAAACATTTATATATATATATATATATCTATGTTACGAGCAGCATTTCTCCATATTGGAAGAAGATTTGAGAAAACTGAACAGAAAAAATAAAAATAATGGCCGAACTAAGCGATAGTTATTTCATCTTCAATCATAATAATACTAATAGTAATCATAATAAGCATAAAACAATAGTACTCTGTGTGTAATAATCATACCATAATTACATACTTACATATAGACATTTACATACATACATACACGAGGCGAAAGCGGGCACCGATATGTGTGCTGCTCAAAATGTAGTCATCATTGCTGCTGTACAGTACACACATTTGTATAAACCACCAGCATAAAATACAGAGTAGGGAAAAGAGGTGGAAAGAACCGATATTAGGTTGTTTTTTTCGGGGGGGGGGGCAGTAAGTAAGTAGTACACTGACAAAAATCAATAAATCAATCAACCAATCAACGAAGGACGACTAGATGTATTCTTTTTTGTTCAATTAAACAAAACAAGTTACATAGACAGAAATGAATGGAAGAAATGATTTAGATTAGAATTTTTTTTAACAAAAAAAATATATTCACACATAGATTAACACAAAATAAGATAAGATAAAAGAAAAATAAATGCGTTTCAAGAGTTAGTTAGTGAGTGAGTGGTTCATTTCATTTCATTCTGCACGGAGCTCCGCCGCGCCCCACCACCACACATACACATACACACACACTGTGTACAATTGAAAGAAAGGCGGAGATGTGAGAACGGGAAGAAGCAGGAGGAGGAGTGATTATCATCAACTGGTTGTAGATGCATGTGTCAACAGTTGTGCTTGTGATGGTTGCTGATGATGATGATGAGATGATAACCAGAGGTGATCATCATGATTATTGATTAGATTTGATGATTCAACTGGATTTTTCAATGATTTCGATAATGCAGATTCATCACTGTGATTACTAATATGATTATTATTGTCATTTATGGAGTCAGTAGTTTTTATCAATGCAAATTGTGATGATACATTGGATAGTTCCGATGGTAGACGATAACGTCGTTGACGTGCTAACGTAGCATTATTATGATTACTATTATTCAACAAAGAATTAGTCGATGGACGTGGAACAAACATAATCAATGGGGATTGATTATTATTATTATTATTACTAGTGTTATTTTTCTTATTTGATGCAATAATGTGATAAGATGATGTTGATGAAGATAACGACGATGAAGAGGGGGAATTGGCAATACAATTAGTAGTACTAGTAGTAGTAGTAGGAGGAGGAGGAGCATCAGCGGCGGCAGCAGCAGGAGTCGTCACGGTCGTCGTCGTGGTAGTAGTAGTAGCAGTACTACTACATGGTAATTGTTTTTCATTTGATAAATCATTGTTAATCATTGATTTCATTGGACTAACAATAATCTCTTTCCCATTATGCGGATAACAATGACGACGACGACGACCAGTAACAGCGGCAGTAGTCGTCGCCACCGTCGTCGCTATCGTACTAGTCGTCGTTCGTGGACAATTCTCTATGCCATAATCGTCACTAGATTGTTTTTGTTGTGTAGAACAAGAGTGATTAGTATTTTTTGTCACAGGATATTGTTTCTCATCCGAATCAATATCACTACTACTACTACTATTCGAGGATGACAAGGATGATGCATAGGTTGTAGGCGGTGGTACAACCAATACTGACAATGGTAGAGATAATGATTTCGATGTTGGTGATAATATCGAGGATTTTTGTTGTGGTTGTTGATGTTGATGAGGATGATGAGGTTGATGATGATCAATCAATGTACGACGAAATCTTCGTTTACTCATGATGATAGGATCATTATTATTATTAGCGGTAGTAGTAGGATGACATCCATTCAATGGACGTTTTTCAAACACATAATCCTCATCATCATCGCGATCACCATCATCACCATCGGCATTATATTTATGATGATGATTAAATGATTTAAAATAATGTATATTATTATTATTCTGTTGTGATTCAATTAAACAACTAGGTGATCGATGATTATTCCAATGAACATGTTGTGCTCGATGATGTTGTTGATGTTGATGACCGTTGATTATTATTGGACTACTACTATTGTGATTATGTACAGGAACTGTGCTTAAACTACGCGGTTTATGCATTGAATAATTATTATTATTATTATTTCTATTATTAATATTATTCCATAAACTAGTTCGATTACGATGAATCATATTTGAACGTGCCGTATTCAATGGTGGTGAAGAATGATTGACATGGCTTTGTTCAATATGAGTAGTAGCAGTAGTAGTAGTAGTGGGTGTTGTTGTAGTTCCAGTTGTATGAATATTATCATTTGATTGATTAAATAAACTAATAATTCTATTTAAATTATGATTATTAGTAAAACGATGTTGTTGATGTGGACGATTACTGTTGTTATTATTATTGACTAAAGAGGATAATTTCGACGGATAATAATAGTAAGACGAAGAATCACCACCACCTAATGATGATGACGAAGAAGTGGCAGCTGCTGTGGTTGTCGTTGTTGTTGCTGCTGAGGTAATTAATTCTTGATTAGTTCTACTGATATTATTATTATTAGTACTAACATTGTCATTCTCATTACGATGATGATTACGAGTCGGTTGTTGTTGGTGTTGTTGTTGCTGCGGTTGCTGCCAAGATGTACATGTTAAACTATGCCGTTGACGTAATGACGACATAGGGATTGGTTTATTATTACTGATGGATTGTTGTTGCTGTTGTAATGGTGATGAAGAACTGATGACAAATGACGAACTATTATTATTATTATTATTGTTAGCATATTTCTCATCATTATTGGTTAATGTTAAATTTTTTATTGAAAAACGTCTTAATCCATATTCCACAGGTGATTGATGATGACCTCCTAATAAGTCACGAGTTAATTTTGTTCTACGTCCAGATGATGAAATACTGTTACTATTCATAGGTAAATGATGCTGATAATGATTCGATAATTTAGATTTTATATTAGATTTTTTCAAATGACCACTGATATACTGTTGATGTGTATGATTATTAGTAGTATCACCAGTAGTATTAGTAGTAGTAGTAGCAGCAGTAGCCGCAGTGGTAGTCGTCGTCGTAGTAGTAGTAGTAGTAACACAACATTGAACATGATGATTCATAGATTCATTGGATTTCACCTTATCACATAACTCATCATCATCATCATTGGATTGATGATTCATATTCAATGTGTCCAATGGTAATAAATTTTGTTGATCATTGTTCAATGTTTCACCTAAACCACCGGAACCGCCACCGCAACCGCCGCCGCCACCACCACCAACAGAATGTGCCAAATCTCCATCGAGATCAATTAAATCTTGACTGGATAAACACAATAGACCTCCAGCACCGAATTGTGTGATCGAATTGGTTGCGACAGCATTATTATTATTACTATAATACAAACGATGATTAGTACTAGTGATACGTGACAAGGAATTCGACGATGTATGTCGTCCACCAACACCAGCACAACTACCACCTAATGTACTAATTGCTATAGCATTCGTCAGCTGAGCAATACTTGCTTGACTTTGATCCATAGTATAACCACAATTCCCAGTCACATAGCTTACATCATTGCCGACATTATCAATGATACTGTGTGCTTCACCAGCAGCGCCTTCACCTCCTCCACCACCTTCACCATCTTCAGCTACTACTCCACCTCCACCTCCGCTTCCGCCTTCTCCTCCTCCTCCTCCTCTAGGTGAATACGTTAAAATACATTTATCCGCCATTAAAACAACCGATGAACGTGGCGGTGTCGTTGAACACATCGGTTGTGTTGTTGTCGTCGTCGTCGATGATGATGATCCTACAACAGGATTATTTTGTACATCTACAACACCTTGTGAATCATGATGTGTTGGTCTAGTAGCAGCCAATGCAGGCATAATTACCGGTAATCGTGAATGATGATGTCTATGCTCATTACTACTGATGAAATGACTAGCAGTTTTTAATTCATCCTCATTCTTATTAATTGATTTATTATTCATGGTTGATTTACCACCAACACCAGCACCAGCAATTTCTATAAGTGGACTATTACTACTTTTATACGTTGACGGCTGAATTGGATGCTTCAATGAATCACGACTACTATTACCAGTGCCAACAATGCATAGACCTAAATTATTATTATTATTATTTCTACTACTAATACATTTTAAATCATTATGAATATGATGGTTAACAGTAGTATTACTAGGATTATTATTAGTATTACTAGTAGTAGTAGTAGTAGTAGGATTAACAATCGATGGATATTCCAAGATATGACGTGGTGTTATATTTACACCATAATCATCAATGACACCATGATAATTGAAATTTTCCATGGTTGTCATAAATTTCCGTGAATTTACCACCAATTCATCATCAATCAAATCTGTAGTGTGTAATGGTGGAAGAGGTGAACAACTCTTATTATTATTATTATTATTATTATTATTTTCATTATTATTATTAATGTTACGATGATTACTGCTTGCAAAAGCAATACCTTCTTCTTTATCATCCGGTTGCTGTTGTTGCTGTTGTTGTGCTTGGTGTATAACAAGTAGATGATCAGTAGTGGTGGTGGATTGAGTTTTTCCATTCAACATTGGTAACAAATTATCTTTCGTCGACTTATTATGCAAATCATTGACTACAATCATAGCATTACTGTTGTGTGGCAGGGAATCAGCGCCATTTTTCAATGCACCAGCACCACCTCCTCCTCCTCCTACACCGACTAAATTCACGCTATCTAAACGTCGATGCAATGCAGCAGCAGGAGGTGGATGATTATTTGAAACTAATACATGCGGTGTTTTATGCGTACGTCTATCAGTGAAACCATTAAATTGTACTGGATTACTATGACCAACTAAAACAGCACTACAACAACCTGTAGTACCACCACCGACACCATGCTGATTATGATGAGCAGGATGATGCGGAGGATGAGGATTGTTATTGATTAATCCAGATCCCGGTGGTAGACAAGCAGCAGCCGCAGCACCACCACCAGCAGGTGTTCCATGTTTTCCTGGATTATCGATTGTTGTGCATACAGCACCAGCAGTACTAGTTGATATTGTACCTGGTTGTTCCCAATCGAATAGATCTGTTTCATGAATATCACGACGAATAATTGCTTGATTAATAAGACCACGTAGCATAGCATAATCTGGTCGATCTGTATAACTACATTCTTCAATATGGCCTAGAAATGCACGAAATTCACTTGGTAAACAACGTGTCAATGTCATATGATTGAAATTGTTCTTGATTTGACCAACCTAAAAGATAAGCAAACATATTATTATTAGTAGTAGTAGTAATAGTAGTTAGTACCAGTAATATTGACATCAGTCAGTCAGTCAGTCAGTCAGATGCAACGTAGAACTTCGTACGTAAGTAAGTACATCAGTTCATGTTGCCATACCACATCACCACTGTAGGGTTAGTCACTTAGTATGCATGAGACTATGACGAGTTTACCTTAGTCGATAAACGCGAACGAGACTTTTACCAGCGTCCAGATAGGCTACCTTGAATCCCCAAAGCGAGTAAAAAGGCTTTGTAAGCGTAGAAAGTATATTCTACAAATACCCAGCAAACACAGTACAATCAAGCATACAACTCTCGTTTATTTATACAACATAGAAACGTCCTTGAGACAGTTACGAAAATAGCACACTAAAATACACAGTAGGCAATCACAGCCATGGATTTTCCTGGTGGGAATTGAAATCTCAAGGTCAACTGATCAGCCCATGCTCGCAAACCAAAATAAGGCATTTATCAAGTAAATTTTGGGGATTTAACATCGCCAACATGCAGAGAGATATAATTGTCAATTCAAATCCAATAGTAGAAGAGGTAGGTAAAGGTATTAGAAGTAATCGGAGAGGTTAGGGTAAGAAGACATTATTCAAGAAGTATGATTCAGTGAGAAAAGTTTTGGTTTGGCCGCCCCTAGCTTTCTTCCAACCTATTCCTACACCACAAAATAAAGATTGTCGAGGCAGTCGGTGGTTAGGCATACGAAGCATATGTCCCAACCACCTCAACTGATGAAGTTTCATTACTTCATCTATTGATCTGCCATTCTTACCTAGCACCCAATTCCTAATAACAGCGTTGCTTACTCAGGTGTAATAATGCCATCTACACTAAAAAAATGTCATTCAAATTTATCTAGTATTTTCAGTCATCTTTGATATAAATAAACTTTTCTCGGATTCAATGATATCACTGAAAACTGAACTATGTCGTTAAGTCTAGACTACCTAGTTAGGTTCAACGAGACAATAATAACCGATAGATGATTAGAAATCTTGAACGACATGGTTCAAAATTGTTTGCGATAGCGCAGGTGCATTAATTCTTCGCGCTCTCTCAAATTCTAGTCTTATGAATTTCTTATCATCTATTAACCTTGTCTTTTTAAGTTTATTTCACAAGTAGCAGACTTCTTGGTTAATATCTTTGAACCATAGTCTTCTCTAATACCGCAAATACTTCTACTAACCTCTATTAAAATGGAATTTGAATAGACAATGGCATTTATCTGTGCTAAAGGGGTGGTATAGCAACTTAAACTGATATACGCATATACGGACGTACGTACGAAGTTCTACATTGTAACAGACTGACTGAGTTTACTCGCTTCTCGCCAGTTCTAATTTTAACGAACCTCAAAAGTTGTAAGTTTGAAGTAAGTCGGACAACTGATTTTGGTCTAAGTAGGGTAGTTGGATAGCATTTGAGTAACTACAACTAATCGTCAGTCAGTTATTACAACGTAAAACTTTATATGTAGGGACATCAGTGCAAGTTGCCATACAACCGTTTAGCAAAGAGAGACGGGGTTGAAAATTCAGAAATCATAGTAGTAGAGGTAGTAAAAGTATTTGTGGTAACAGAGAAGATTTGAGTTCGATTATATTACTCAAGAAGTAGAATCTACTGAAATAAACTTAAAAAGAGAAAGATAAAAGTGATGAAGAATCCAAAGGATTAGGATCTCAGAGAAACCAAAAAATCGACGCATTTATGTCATCGCAAAGAATTTTCAGCCATGTCATTCAAGGTCTTTAACCATCGGTTACTATTGTCTCGCACATCACATCCAGGTAGCCTACATCTACCAGCATGACTCAGTCCACTTGTCAGTAACTTCATGGATTTCTGCAATGTTTTTTTTTATTTGACCGCCCCTAGCTTTCTTCCGACCTACTCCTACACCACAAAACATAGCTCAACGAAGCAGTCGTTGGTTAGGCATATGTAACACATGTCCCAACCACTTTAACTGATGAAGTTTCAGCACTTCGTCTATTGATCTGCCATTCTTACTTAGCACCCGTTTCCCAATAACAGCGTTGCTCACTCGGGTGTCCCTGGATAAACGAGCAATCCTTCGAAGACACCTATCAGCCACCTTTCCACCTACTATGATTATCATCAGTCATCATAGAAAACACTGCGAATCAAAATGTGAGTATAAGGAAATGTACTTGTAGTTTAGTGGTTTAGTTTTTCTGGCAGTCAGTGGTTGGGCATACGTAACACATGTCCCAATCACTTCAACTGATGAAGTTTCAATACTTCACCTATTATTGATCTGCCATCCTTACACCTAGTACCTGTTTCCTAACAACCGCATTGCTAACTCGATAGTCTCAACAGAAAAAAACGAGCTGACAACTAGAGCCATTCCACACTATAGGCAGCCAAGAAGTGACAACCACCCTCACTCATACCCCCCATAAAAGCACACAAGACTAAAAATTGGTCACAATTACATCACCTTCAACCAAGTAGTCAAGATTATAGAATGTAACACAATGAATGACAAATTCATTGATGTCGTGCAGATTAAGGAAGGGATCTTACGAAAATAGTTATTTGTAACCATGAATCGATCAATGTTAGACCACCACCATTAGAAACCTGCAAGAAACACTGGACGGCCGTTTCGTCCTGGTGTATGGGACTCATCAGTGGCAGTGCGCATCCACGACTCCTGCACTTAACAACTTAATCAATCTTCACAACAACCCCGCAATGAAAGTATTTATATACACACAAAATGATCTCACCTGTTCTTTATCTCTAATTTTACGCCATGGTAATTGACCTGATGCAAATTCTACAAGCATATAAAACATAGACCATAAATCATCATGTCGACCCATTTCACGATTCATATGTGCATTACGTGATGCATAACGTACTGTACCACGAAAACCGGCCATTGGACGTGCTGGCCGAATTTCACCATTCGATGAAGTGTATTGACGAGCTAAACCAAAATCTAACATGTATATAGTACGACAATTGGTTGATAAACGGCCTAAAGCAAAATTTGACGGTTTAATATCACGATGTAAGAAACCAGCATTATGTATTGTTTCAATAGCATTTAAAATTTGTAAACTTAAACGTATTGTTGTTGATATAGAGAATATACCACGTGGCATACTACGTCGTAAATCGGCAAGATTTCGACCCTGTAAAATAGAAAAAAAACAAACAGGCGGTAAAAAAACGATGACTACCGGTGGATGATTTACATACATTCATAACAATTAATCACCAAAAGTATACGTCAGACAGTCAAGTTAGTCAGCCAACGACAACACAGAACTTCGTACGTGCGTACGTACATCAGTTCAAGTTGCCATACATACCACATTAAGTACAGAAATCCGATCCGAAGATTTATATAATTATATAAATTTACCCTGTATTGTCTGTCAAGAGCAATTTTACATTGGTTTTCAGGAGAACCACAAAAAGACTGGATACGTTTTACCATTACACTACATGAACAGTTCGGCTCAAATCCAGTGGTGCAGTGTAACCACACAGGTACCTGATACCCTGGTGAACCATTCACACCATTTCATATACACACAATAATATATATATATTTCCGATCAATGATCGCGTCAATCAATATGCATCGCATGAACAGGCCATTTCGACCCATCCCGCTTACATGACTGTCAAACTCATTATATTATTAGTAATGGTGATATGTAATACAGTACAGCACCCCAATGACAATGGCCCTCGTGAATGTCGCAAAACAACCACCTATATCAATGAAATCGGTCACTCTGCTAACCAATTTTGTATATGGACTGTTAACAATGCTTACCAAAGCAAAGCAAAGCCATCCACAATATTCATCACAACGAACCTCTAGTCTCATAGGAGACCTTCAGCTCTATATAACAGCAGTATAGCATATGGTGTACACATATATGGCGCAGGATAGTAGAAGAGGCAGCCCAGCTTGATGCAAATAAGCTCAAACACTTCTATTACCCTTTGTCTCACTCATGTCGGGCAATGATTTTTTCGCGTTTCCGAAATTTTCATTTTTTGGACCATATGAGACCTGAGTTAGGGGTAGGCAGTATCCCTACGATCCGAAGATAGTGATCAAGAAGTAAAATCCAGTGAATTCGATTTGAAAAGGGAAATATAAATACCATGGGGAGTTTAGATTAGATTTTGGGAGAAAACAAAGAATGGATGCATATGAACTATCGCAAACGACGATGAAATATAACATGTATGACCGATCCCAAGCCCGGATAAAGGAGAAAGGTTGGGGGATTAGGGTTAACGACCCCATCCCACAAAAAAGAAACTCACCAAAAAAAACGCGAACAGAAAAAATAATTCAAACCATTTAAACTCTACTCTAGGAGTTAGAAAGTCTTCATTTAAACGAGAAGGGATACACATGCGCCATTACAAACGATTCTGACCCATGTCATTCTAAGTCTCTAACCATCCATTACTATCGTCTCACGGACTAAAACCTAGTCGGTTTAGTTGTCATGGAATTTAAGGGTGCTGTTTACGAAATTCAGTGGATGAAAAGTGAGTGTTCGACACTACCCAGTTTGGTGGATAAAGAGGAGGACCTATTTAGGGAAGTTGCAAAACCATGACTCCAAATCAATCATGCACATGGACTCCATGATCCAGAAGGAATAAATTAGTGTTGAGATGATGGAGAAAATTTGTAGCTCAGGTGGTGATGATTGTGGTAGTGTTTCGTTCTCTAAGCTGTATGTTCTGGTTGTGGAGCTTTCATTGCTGATGATGTGTTGCTCAGAAGAACGATGAAATCTCCACAACCAAAACATCCAACTCAGAGAATGAAACATTACCACAATAATTTGGTGCACAAATCTCAGTCAGTCAGTCAGTTGCAACGTAGAACTTCGTACGTATGTACATAAGTTCATGTTGCCATACCACCACATTAGCACAGAGACACAAATGTCAAATCAAATCCCATTGTGATAAAGATAGTAGAGGTATTAATGGTAATGAAGAAGACTAGGGTTTGAAGATATTACATTCAAGAAATATAATTCAGTGAGATAAGGTTAGAAAGACAAGGGTAGAAGTGCTGACGAATCCAGAAGATTAGGATTTGAGAGAGCACAACAAATGGATGCACTTGCGCCATTACAAACGATTAAGTCCACTCGTCAATGTCTTCATGGATTTCTGCCATGTTTTGGTCTGGCCGCCCCTAACTTTCTTCCAATCTACTCCTACACTACAAAATAAAGTTCGTCGAGGCAGTAGGTTGTTAGCCATTCATAGCACATGTCCCAACCACCTTAACTGATGAAGTTCATTACTTCATCCATTGAGTTGCCATCCCTACCTACCACCCGTTTCCTAACGATAGCATTGCTTACTCGGTTGTTCCACGATACACGAGCAATGCTTCGGAAACATCGATGATCGAATACTAGTAACCTACGAACATCTTCTACTCTTAACGGCCATGTTTCACAGCCATATAGAAGAACGGATATCACGCCTACGCCATAAATGACGCAGGTTGGCAAAAGCCAATTGAGCTTTCTTTGTACGTGCTAAGATTTCGTCAGTCACCGTTTTATAGCCTACATTCTACTCTGTTGTATAACAACTATCATTTAATTCAAGTTACTCACAATTAATTAGTGAATCCAAATTCTTTTCATTGCCAAACTGATACTCTTTTTTTCTATTCTGTTCTATTCTATTGTGTTGTGTTCTATTTCTCACTTCATTTCTTCTTCATCGTCTTCTAACAATGTATGTTGTGTTCATTATGTAACTTCATTTATTTATTCTTATTTATTTTCATTAAATAAAACAAAAATATTTATCTGATTATTATTATTATTATTATTATTATTATTATTGTGAATTTATTAAATAGGTCAATTAATGTAATAAAAAATAAATTTATGCACAAGATTGATAATTTGTCTGTCTTTAAGGGCCCAAGTTTTTTATTTTATTTTTAATGCTATTTGATAATTGTTTACTTAATTTAAACGCGCTCACTCAATGTTAAATAAATAAATAAATAAATAAATATTTTTTTAAGCTCTATTACATTAAATTCATGCATGAACTTTTGGTATATGTGGGCTGAGATGTTGTTACTAGTAACAATCTGAATGAATGTCTAAAGTGACAAAAAGTGGTTTCTTCTTCTTCTTCATAGGGTCATACAGTGAGCATATGAACTTGGTGAGGTGTCTAATCTATAAGGTAGTAAGTGAGTGGAGCAATGTAAGTGTGAATACAGTTGTATGATAATCGGTGATCAGTAGTAATAAAAGAGATTTATGTTATGCTTTTGCCAACCTGCGTCATTTATGGCGTAGGCGATATATGCGTTTGCTGACTAAAGGACGAGAGTACTGTTCAGCAGTTCGCTCCGTTCTTCTATATGGCTGTGAAACATGGCCAGTGAGAGTAGAAGATATTCGTAGGTTACTGGTTTTCGATCATCAGTGTCTCTAAAGTATTGCTCGTGTATCGTGGAACAACCGAGTAAGCAATGCTATCGTTAGGAAACGGGTGGTAGGTAGGGATGGCAAATCAATGGATGAAGTAATGAAACTTCATCAGTTGAGGTGGTTGGGACATGTGTTACATATGGCCAACCCCCGGCTGCCTCGACGAGCTATGTTTTGTAGTGTAGGAGTAAGTTGGAAGAAAGTTAGGGGCGGCCAGACCAAACCATGTCAGAAATCCATGAAATCACTGACTAGTGGACTTAGTCATGTTGGTAGATGTTGACTACCTGGTTGGGGTCCGCGAGACGAAAGTCACCGATGGTTAGAGACGTTGAACGACATGGCTCAGAATCGTTTGCAATGGCGCAAGTGCATCCATTCTTTGAGCTCTCTGAAATCCTAATCTTCTGGAATCGTCAGCACCTCTATGTTTGTCTTTCTAACCTTATCTCACTGAATTATACTTCTTGAATAATGTCTTCGAACCATAGTCTTCTTCATTACCATTAATACCTCTACTATCTTTATCACAATGGGATTTGATTTGACATTTGTGTCTCTGTGCTAATGTGGTGGTATGGCAACATGAACTTATGTACATACGTACGAAGTTCTACGTTGCAACTGACTGACTGACTGACATGGATCAGATGCAGATGTGAAGGTGTGAATTAGCCTAAGCAAGAGAAGCATTTCTATAATTGGACAACATCCAGGACTCAAAACAATCACCAACCAACATCAAAGTCAGAATTTTCAATACAAATGTCAAGACAGTTCTGATGTATGAGGTGGAAACTTCGCGAACCACGAAAGCTATCATCTAGAAGATACAAGTATTCAATAACAAGTAAGACATCACAGTCAAACCTTCAGTAGTTGCTTTTAGTCTCATCGTCTTTCAATCAAACTGCCTGGCATGGTAGGACCTAAAGGGACATGTTACAGCCAATATAATTGGTTGTTGGTTTAGAATCAGAGTCATATGAAAGGATTTCGAGAGAGAGAGAGAGAGAGAGAGCTGACACTCCTCACTCTCGGTTGTACCATAGGATTTCGGAGCGAGAAATAAGAAGAAACGACTGTTCTTGATTTCGGAAACTTTCAAAATGTTCTCACGTCAGTGTTAACTTAAATACTAGCACTATCTAAGACTTTAAATTAGAAATTATCCAAAAATGTTTTTCCTAACTGAAAATTTACTATAATTGATAGTTTAAAAGGTTAGCAAGACTAGATTAGGATTCAATGATTGAGCATTATCAATCAGTTGTTAACATAATCTCCTAATAATCTACTGAATTCTAAAGACATCGAAATATTGTAGGAAGCATAGAATACACCGGAGAGAAAGGAGGACGATCTAGACTTCGCAAATGATTTGGCTTTTCTATTGCACATGCAACGAAAAATGCAAGAGAAGACGACTAGTATAGCAGTAGACCCCGACATCCACAAAAGAAAAAACAGGATCCCCGATACAATACAACATCAGCTAACCAAATCACACATGGAGATGCCTTGGAGGATTCAAAAACCTTGACATATCTGGGCAGTAAAATTGATGAGCACGGCGGATCTGGTGCAGATGTGAAGGTGTGGATCGGCAAAGCAAGAGAACCATTTCTACAACTGAACAATATTCGGGACTCAAAACAATGATCAACCAACGTCAA